AAATAAACGAAATGATCCAAAATTAAAATGAAAAAAAAAATTAAACTAAAAAAGATACAAGCCCAAAACAAATATCAAAACAAAATTAATGATTCAAGCCCAAATCAAGCTTACACGAAAAAGGAACGATTTGATCAACAAATTACAAGTTCAAATCCAGATACAATGATTACGTATACAAATAAGTCTTGAGCCCGAATAAATTCTCTTGAGAGACTTAAGCCAAAATCTCTCAAGCTGTCATGATGCAACCAATGTTCTTCGAGTTCTTCTTCTAGACAGAAATTTCCGACTAGTTGCAATGCTTCCCCGTAATTTATATGCTCCAATTAATAGTCCTTCACCCTCAAATGTGACCTGCAATGATAAAAAAAACTACATTGAACTGCTGCTTGTTCAAGGAATTCAATCAAGACTGTGCAAGAAATCCATCTTTCATAATCCAGATTATATAATGAATGTTTGTCTTGAAGCTGATGCTGATGAGAAGGTACTGGTATGTAGCAAGTTCCTAAACCAAGGTAGAAGAATGGAACTGTAGTATTGAGTTTGGTAATTAATCACCAGACTTCCATTCCAGCCAAATATCAACCGAGACTGACTTTGAGAACTAGAGTCCTGCTAATTTCCCTCTGTACCAGATCCTTAACTTCTTGAAATCAAAGTCTTGTTGAGCTATGAAAATAAAAAAAACTTGCTCAAGATATGTAGCCCGCTCAAAGTTCATAGTCTCTAATCCGCTAAACAAACAACCACTCAAATATGTTTTGAATTGGTATACACAACAGTAGTAAGTTGCTCACACACAGCAGCAAAATTGAACATTCAAACACAGTGTAATCAATCAAAATTTTACAACACACTAACTATTCAACAGTGAGCTGTTGGGCAAAATTCCACACACCACAGTTTGAGAAACCAAAATCCCAACCTTCCAAACTGCATAACAGAGATTGTGTTTCACAATTTAAAAGAAGAATSCTTCACAGAACAGAATTGATATCACTTGATGGTTTGCTGCACTAGTGCAGATGCCTTGAAGATTTTTAAAACACGCTGATACTTCCAAGAACCATGGATCCAGACTAGCTGCTATAAACCTGTGTTTCTTTGGTCTTAAGATAATAAGATGTTGAATACCAGCATTCCTTGGCCATAGTATACAAAACCAATCAACACAGTGTACGAATTGATACAGGCGATTTAATTCAAAACCAATCAGGCTAATTGAACGATTTTGAACATAGAAAATGAAGATGAATCTGTCAAGTTCTCTGAAAAACCAACTAGTGTGCGATTAATGTGAAATCAACCAAAGGAAATCTGCGATTTACACATTTCTTCAAATCCAGTCAAAATAGAATAAGCTTCGGTCAAGAAACTTGAAATCCAGACACTATAAAGTAAAAACGAACACGTCTTCAATTAAGTTGAAATCAAACACTATTATGTGAGTTATGAATCAAAATCGACAAGTAAGGTTGTCAGATTTAAAAATCCGGATGAATCCTTTGAGCGATTTACTAAATCGGATGAAGGCAGTTAATTGACCGATTTACAGACAACCTGAGCGATTTACCTAAATCGATCACAACTCAAGCTAAACCGGAGAAGCAGTGAACGATTTACCAAACTCCGGTCACTAGTCCGCTCAAATGTTAATTGAATCCGGTCACCAATCCGGTCACCAATCCGGTCAAGAGATGATCGATTAAGACTTAGAACACAAAACATATGAAATTTAAGATGAAATCGATTAAGTATGAGCGATTAACAAGATTTCGACTAAGCTGCTGTCAAGGCTGCTACCCACTTGTGCGATTTAAGAATCATAGTGGTGAGCGACTAACTTCTTAATCAGACAAAGGATGAGCGATTTACCTTGAATCCGGTTAAGCTTTGTACGAATCCGGACAATTATCCGGTTAACCTCAAATCTAGACTTTCCAAAAATTCCTTTGAGCGATAAAAATACCGGACATATAGATGAACAGATGAGACTTGGCTTCTTGAACCTGCGATTTAGTTGAAGATGAGAAATGATTCTAAGTCCAAATCAGATGGATTTGGCTTAGAGAAATTTGGGCCTGCGGTTTAGAAACCAAAAACACAAACAAAAAGAAATTTTAACAAAAAAAATGATCAAAAACACTGACTTTTTAAGAAAAATTAAGAACACGAAAAAAATTTAAAAACACTAAAACCGATTAAATCTTGAAATATAATGATCAAATCACAATCGTTTGTGAATAACAAAGATTCACAATTCAATTCTGAGCATTTTGATCACGATTTAAACACAAAAACACAAGATTTTTAAAAAAAATCGGATCAAACTTAAAAAAAAAATTAAGAACGCGAAGAACATAGATGAAGAACACAGAAAATCTAGAAAAAAAAAATCTTCAACAAATCTTCAAAATCTGATTTCTTCTTCTGATTTCTTGCATTTCAGCTTTGATACCAATTGTGTGTCACTCTTCAATGATCAATCTTCATACATCTTCATAACAATGGCAGATCTATGATTTATCTTCAAGAACACAAGATATACTTTGAGAGACAAAGTCAAACATTCAATACTCAGTCAAACTCTCTATTACGTAATGTGTTTTACAAATGAGCTCTCTTCTCTTTCAATTACAAAGACATTACCCTAGTTATAGGGTCAAACTTCTAAACACAAGTCAAAGTCAAACCTGCCTAAGAAAAGTCAAACACGATGACTTTTACAATTATAGACAATATTTAACTTTCAAGACGAATACAATTTAATACTGATTTTCAGTCCTAACAGTAATGATCAGAACCCGGTTATCACAAAAATGAAGAAGATGAAAGAGAAGAAGGGGCTGGAAAATCTCCCTAATGGTTACCATAAAATCAACACAAAACTTCTTCTCGTGATTGCCTCATTAATTTGTACAAGTTAAAAAATAAAAAATATGGAATATAACAATTACCAATATTACCCTTTACTATTTAAAGAAAATGAAAAAAACAAACAAAAAGATGAATAACTATGATCAAGGTTGCATTGGTTGTAACAATGCAATGGGTTTTATTTGAAATATATCTTATATGTGTGTGTATGTATATGTATGTGTGTGTGTGTATATATATATATATATATATATATATATATATAACTTGGGATCATGTGAGACCGACCTGTTTTTGTGAGACCCGTGAGACCATCTTTTTACACTTGAAACTTTACAGTAAAACATTATGAAGGTAACATTCACAGTGTTTTTACTGTGAAGATTCGAAGTTCTTTTACCTTCACAACGTTTTTCTGTGAAGTTTCAAGTGTAATAATATGGTCTCACGAAACAGGTTGGTTTCACGTGAACCCAACCTTATATATATATATATATATATATTAGGTTCGGACCCGTGTATTACACGGGTTAATGACAAAAATTAAGCGAAACTTATATGTATTTTATGAAGAATTAATAATCGGAGGTAATTTATAAACTTAGACAAAGGTACAAGTCCGATTAAATTTTGGATATAAAGATGCTCTTACTCGAGAATTGAATGTTACATATACAAAGGACGGCCTGTGCTTCGATGATAAGAAAAACTTCTAAATGAAGACGAACAATGTAGATCCAGTATGCAGCGCTACGTAGTACATGTAGAGCCTTTATATACCTCTATATGAGACAAGCAAAGGGAATTAGATGCTCTGGGTAGTACATGCAGAGATAGAACTCTTACTCAAGAAAAGTACAGAGCCTCTATGAAGCTCTGTATGAAAGACGGAGGAAGGGTCAGAATGACCCTGTAGCACCTGCAGAACCTCTGTTAAGCTCTATTTGTAGAACGAAATTAGGCTTCAAGGACACAAGCGTAAAGAAAGTTTCCAGAGATTAAGACGGAAACTATTCAGAGTTACAAGTCTGAAGGTCATCTTCGGAGTAAGAGACAGAGCCTCGACTCATTCCGTGAAGAGACAGAGCTCTTTCTCAAGACAAATGCAGAACCTCTATGCAGCTTTGTATGAAATACGGAGTCTAGTTCATATTGACCGCATTGCACGTGCAGAACCTCTGTTAAGCTCTGTATGAAGGACGAAATTAGGCTGGACAGACATAAGGGCTAAGAAATCCTCCAGAGTTCACGACGGACAGTATCCAGCGTTGCAAGACTTCTAAATCAAGACGACCAACCTGGCTACAAGTGTGAAGTTCTTTTCAAGAGTTAATTGCTAAAATTAGCCAACGCTACAAGTTTGTATAAATTTTCCGTGGACAGAGGCTCTGCATTGTAGATGCAGAGCTGGTGTGTAGCTTTGCATGAAGCATGAAATCAGGCATAAAGGTGCTACATGGTTTCTGCAGTACCTCTCTAAAGCTCTGTATGAATTACAAAAGTTTGGTCAGAGGCTCTGCGTAGTACATGCAGTCCCTCTCTAAAGCTCTGTATGAATCACGGAGTTCATGTGAGAGAATTTACGTAGCACATGCAGATCCTATATGATCGGATAATTATAATGCAGAACATAAATGAAAAATGAGCCTCTTAAGAATTAATAATAATATGAGTTAATAAGATGAAGTTGTAAAACAATATTTATAACACAATATAAACTGAACAAATATAAGGTAAATATGTAAAACATTAATAAAATAAGAACCATGTATCATATATTACTGAACACTTCTTTGTATACAACATTCGTTGTTTTACTGTCAATAATACCATCATCATCCATAATTAGTACTTCCAAACCTTGCTTGCTTTTGACTCTGGATAAAGCAACATATAGCTGAGCATGCGTGAAGACCGGTTGTCTTAGAAATAAACCAACTTTTGATAATGATTGTCCTTGGGTCTTATTAATGGTCATGGCAAAACATACAACAATTGGAAAACTGTCTCCTTTGAAATTTGAATGGTATCCTTTTGTGTGTAGGTGTTAAGGACATTCTTGGAATGAATGTACGGCTTCCAATATTGCTTCCAGATATAACCTATGCTTCTATTACTCGATTTCCCAATGTTAACACCCGCAGTCTAGTATCATTACATAATCTAGATTTCTGATCAATATTCCTGAGTAACATGACAGGAACACCAACTTTTAGTAAAATCTTGTGGTTTGGTATTTCTGATAATTTAAGACCATTTAAAACATCAGGAGAGTACAATGTTTTGTCAAACTCATCATGAAGGTGCTCTGATTCACATAGCGTATCTGAACTTAAGTACTCATTTTCTTCTCCTGGAAACAATGACAGCAAACAATCATTTATTTCTTAAACCACTTCATTTTTTGGTGCAAGTATTGGTCTTTCTTGAAAATAAGCTGAGTTGTTGATGTTTTCAAGAATTGAGGGATAGACAAATTCGATTAATGCAGATATAGGATCGATGCGATCGGTAATGAGAAGATCATGAGGTATCTCAATAACTGCTTCACCATCATTATCACCTCCAACTTTTCCTTCTCCTAAGTCCAAAATCCATTTTGCAAAATCCCTTGTTTGTTCAATTTCTGAACTCTCACTGTTTGCAGTTAGCCTCATGTTCCTAATTAACCTTAGGACTTTGCTTTTTTTCCAAATGTAAGATGAACTTAATGATGCATTTACGATGTCTTGTCTACCTGCATTGGGAATAACCGGCAGAATCTGTCTRAAATCTCCTCCAAAAATAGTTACCTTACCCCCAAAAAGCATATGTGAGTCACCACTGCGTTGAGTATGGAAAATATCGTTCATACTTCTATCTAATGCTTCAAATGCATGCTTATGAACCATTGGTGCCTCATCCCATATTATCAAAGTAGTTTTCTTTATTAAGCTCGCAACATCACTGTCTGGCTTCATGTGGCAAAGAGAATCTTCATTGAGAATGAGCGGGATTTGAAACCGATAGTGTGCTGTTCTGCCACCGGTAAGAAGTAAAGATGCAATACCACTGGAAGCAACATTTAAAACAATATCTCCTTTAGATCTTATTGATGCATCCAAGGTCTTCCACAGGAATGTTTTACCTGTTCCGCCATTCCCATAAACAAAAAACACACCACCTTTTTTCTTTTCAACCGCAATCATGATTTCATTATATACACCTCTTTGCTCATTTGTTAGAGTAGTAACAAGTGTCTGAAACTCATCACGTAAATTATGATGGTTATAATCCATTTCTTCTGCAATCATACGGTTCTTTGATGATTCAAGCGAATCATTATCTAGATAAGGTAGAGTAGTGAAGTTTTTCAATGTGGAATTGTTACGAAGCAAAATCTTTTCAATTTCGAACAAAGTTAGATTATTCACTTGTTCTTCATTGAGAGATAAATCTGTAAGAAGATAATATAAATGTAAACAATTAATACATGAAATTAAAAGTAGATACAATTTAATAACAGCCATAGTGATTGATAATAGTTGTATAACTCTATGCTTAAGATATAGAATTAACATACCTAGCTACTGTAAAGCAATTCGTTGATTGTACAGAATCGCATCTGCTAAGTATTGCCATGTTTTTTCCAAAACAAATTCAGGTCTAGATAGACTGTTTGAAATCAGCATGGTTGCAAATAAGAAGCGGAGATAAAAACCAGATGCAGTTAAATTTGCCTCTTCAATGGCATCAATATATTCCTTGTCATCGTCTAAAAGCCCAACAGCATAACATGCATCTCTAAAACTAAGAAATGTTTTTCCATTAACTGTACGAATGTCTTCAAATGATTTAGGACCTTTGACTTTATTTAGAAGAATTCGTAAGTAATATTCTTCTCTTACAGTAGGAGAAACTGAATGAATCCGTCCAATTGAGAACCCTTTTTTCCTTCGATCCCAACGTTGTTCGTCCAATTTCCACACAAACTTTGTAGGGAATTCAACGTAAGTGAGTTCTCGTTCTTCTTGATAAATTTGATTACAATGCATCCAAGCTAAGAACATTGAGGACGCCACAGATGGTCTGTTTAGGACATTTTCAATATTATCTTCAGCACCAAACACCACTTGTTGTTATCCCGTAAGATGAAAAGGAAGTCTTAAAACAGAAGGAGTTCTATAATAAACATCATATCTAAAAATACGCCATGAAGCTTCACATACAGAAAGGTATCTACAATCATAATACTGTTTTATCTCATCAACAACATTAAAAGTGACCGCATCATTACTGTTTTCTACAATTGCAACAGTAGCTCTATCTGGACCCTTATTGATATATTTGAACAGATATTTGATTGAAGATGACTGATTGCACCACTCAACATTAATGTGTGCTTGATATCTTTTTAACAGATGTTTGTTATATGGAACGACATTTCTGTTGTCTAGTTTAACACATGATTTTTCAATAAAACGTCCATCAGCTCGTCTGCGGTATACAAGATAACCATTAACATCAATTGAAGTGTGTTTAGAAAATTTCTTTGGGTATTTTTTTGAACACTTTCTATCAATCATGCATGGACAATTAATGTTTTCTTCACCACATGGTCCATGCATCATGAACTCTTTTACTAGTAAGTACAAGTCTGGATCACTGTTTTTGTCTAGGATCTCAGCTGAGATGATAGGATAAATCTGTTCAACAGTAGGTAGCTTGAAATCTCGGTGCATAAACAGACAGATATGACTGTGAGGCAATCCATGCTTTTGAAATTCAATTGTATAAACAACTTCAAAAAAGTTACAATTTAAATTAATAAAGATAAGACTAAAAGTATGAAGAAATATGTTGATACTGTTATCATAAATTGAACATACCTGCTTGAGTTTTGCCAAGAAAACTCATTCTCTTTCAATTCTTTAATAAGTGCATCAAGCTTAATCTTAAATAAACGACAAAGAATGTCAGACCTGTCTTCTGGATTTAGGCCAGTGTCCTTAACAAATCTTCTAATTTCTGGCCATTTTGGATTGCAAGTCATGGTTAGGAATAAGTCAGGATATCCATACCATTTAAAAAGGGACATTGCATCCAAATAATTTTGCATCATGTACCGAGCACCACCGGTGAAAGAAGAAGGTAGTGTAACACATTGTCCAATGTTTGAAACATTCCACTCTCCTTGTTCTTGTACATTGCATAGAATATCATATGTCTCGCACCTTAGACTTTCTGCTGCTTACGTATGTAATGCAATCTCTCACTTTCAATCATTGTGTATCCATCAACATTAAATTGCTGTAGAAGCCTCCTTGCATTGAGAAGTAATGAAAACATATTTCTCCTATCTTGAAGTTTGAAGGCGAAGAACTCCCTCATTGTTACAGTTGTTCTTTTACTTTTGCTTGAAGATGTTACCTCTCTATGGGGAATGTCAACTCTGTAACCATCTTCTCCGTATGGAAATAACAACATATATTGAAGAGGAAGGTAAGAAGGATGTAATTCACTTATTTGTTGCAAATAACCTGTCTGATGTTGTACAATGATATCTCTTTTTTCAATTGTACCACCATCATCTCCAACAATTAAAGTTGCAACCTCTGAAGCAATTGGAAGGTTATATGTTCTTCCATCATTTTCTCTTCTTCCAATCAGCCGTAACTTTAGCTTGACATCCAGGTAGCATTCAAAAGAGTCTCTTCCAATTCTATAAGACTTCACCAACACATTTTTTGCATCTAGTATGTTCTTTAAGTATTGAATAATCTCAACATCAAGGGAATCAGAATTTGATGCAGAGGCTTCTTGTTGTTCACTAAGTAAATGATAACAAACATAAAATCAGAGTGACCATTAATATAACCATACTATGTAATTCAAGTAAATTTATTAACAGATATTACAATAAGGATGAATGTATACCTAAATGAACTATGTCTATTTGAAACTTCATTTTCCGTATCATATATGTACAGTTGAGAGAATTTCAGTTTTGTTCCATTTGGTGGTAGAAGACTACCCATCCTATGGTAGTTTTGACCGTTAAACCTGTATATGTATGGTGCATTTCCACTATTAATGGAAGAATCAATTTTTCCACCCATTGATGAAAATGAGAACAATGAATTATAACGACGAATGTTCTTCATAAAGTATTTGCTTTTTGAGTCCTCACAACGAAACAGATTTACGTAAGAAGTAGCCATCTGTTTCTCTTTTGGAAGCTGAACTTTGCCATAAAGACAACAAAGGGAGTAAGTTGTTTTCATCCCGCATTTTTTCCCTCGAAGAGCTTCATCTCTCCATAGTTTTGCATCATAACATTCACAAATAACACTTTCATCACCGTGATCCAAGTACTCTGTTTAATAAATTCGAATCTAATAACTAACTGTAAGTATTAAACATTTGATTAATCAATAATTACCTTAAGATATTCCTGCAATTATGTTTGTAGTTGTTACTAGATGGTCCGGTTCGTCATCTGATGTAATATCAATGATTGGTATATCAGATACATTTACATTCCTCCTTTGTAATCTATGATGCCCTGTTGATAACCGAACCATAGAAGAAGCTTGCTCTATTGTCGATAAAAGCATGGATGAATTGGCGCTAGAACGTAACCAGTAGTGTTTGTTTACATGAAGACTTGCTGTTTAAAATATACAAATTTAAGTAATGTAAAACATGTGTTAGTATTGAAAATGTAATTGAATCATTACTTTAAAAATGAGGTGTACAAGAGATTACACATACCATTAGAGAACTATCAGATAATGGATTTGTGATAGTCACATCTGAAGAAGAATGTGCAAAGTTTGTATGTTGATATTGTGGACATGTGTTTGGATCCATATTCTCACTATGGTAGGGAATATTATTCCTCTGAGATGAAGATCTTAATTGCCTATCATAATTTGGGATATTATCTGTAAAAAGATAGAGGAAAGTATAATTGTGAAAAAAGTGACTTCAACAGAATTTCTGAACATGTAATATTTGTCTCATTCAAAATCGAATTCAAAATGCTATTGAATCAGATACCTTTCACATTTGATGATGTAGACTTCAATGACTATTTACTACTATTCAAAACCGTCTTTCTAAATTTTCTCCTTTCTCTAGCATCCATGGAATTTATTTGTTAAAAGATCTGCAAGAAAATTAATCCTTCAACAAGAAACCAGTGCTTGAAGTCAGTACATAATAAAACATTAGAATGAACAATCGTGAGAAAATGGACTGAGTTAGTCAGTTGTGTTAAAGAACTCTTTTTTTACTGTAGTAGGAAATGGAAATTGTCTGTGATAACAATAATTTTATAAGAAGCAAATGATTACCCAGATGAGGCGGTTATGGAAACCATAAATTAAAGGTGTAAATACAACGTAAGTTAAGAAATTGCTTGTCAGCTTTTTTTTTTGCACATTTGTTTTTCGGAGTTATGTACCAGATTGTCGAGTCAGAGCTAATGAGCAGGGCATAAAAACTTTTAAGTGTTGTATGCAGAGAGTCACCCCACACACAGAGCTTCACTTACGGTTCAAATGGGTCTATTTAAGTGACATTTGTCCCTTTACACGTTTATTTTCCTTTTTTTGTGGCTTAATTGATGTTCCAAACGAAGAAAACAACTCTGATATGTTCTCTGTCTAACCGAGTCTGGATTCATTCTATCCAGACTTATAAGTCTGGACATAAAAGACTGGACGTATGTTCCTTTGTCAACGTGCATAATTGTCTGTCAGATTTACAAGGTAGCATGCCTTAGAAATCTGAGAATAAATCTGAACTCCTTCTCTCCAATGGAAATTCAGAATTCTCTTCAACATTTATGGCRGTTTCATGGATCATATCATCATCATACTTAGTTACTGTCATAACAATAATTTTATAAGAAGGAAATCATTATCCAGATGAGGCGGTTATGGAAACCGTAAATTAAAGGTGTAAATACAACGTAAGTTAAGAAACTGCTTGTCAGTTTTTTTTTCCACGTTAGTTTTTCAGATTTATGTATCAGATTGTCGAGTCAGAGTTAATAAACAGGGCATAGAAAAGTTTAATTGTTTCATGCAAAGAGTCACCCCACACACAGTGCTTCACTCACGGTTCAAATGCGTCTATTTATATGACATGTGTCCCTCTACACGTTTATTTTCCCTTTTTCGTGGCTTAATTGATGTTCCAGACGAAGAAAAGAACTCTGATATGTCTATGTATCACTAAATCTGGAGTCATTCTTTCCAGACTTTTGCAGCATGTACGTGAAAGTCTGGACTTATGTTCCCTTGGTAACATTCATAATTGTATGGCAGACTTAGAAGGTATCTCGCCATAAAATTTTGAGAACAAATCTGAACTCCTTTTCCACAATTAAAATTCAAAGTAGTCTTCGATATTTATGACGCTTACATGGATCAACGAATAAATCCCATTACACTTAAGCTCTGTATACGGGTCAAACCTTTTCGTGACCTATATATATTTTGTACAAAAACATCATTTACAATTGTTTGAAAAACAAAATAAAAATAATCAGTCAAACCAATAAATGTTAATAAAAAATATGCATTAATACGATACTAACAAAATAATACAATAGTACTCAATTACACAGCTCCACAACTAACTAAAATAAGTTCCACCCATTTTAGGATAACCAAGAATCTAAAGTACTATATGAAATATCTTTACTATTTGTAAAGTTGAGGGAGATCCACGTCCAATCTCAGGAATGAAGTTATGAGCTATAGGTGTTATAACAAAATCATCAAATTGGTTCGGGTATATAGACCCGAAATCATGATGCATGTTAAAAGATGCAACTTCATCACCAAGTTGTATTGACTCAAATGATTGGTAATCCAAAGGTGGTGCATCCGCAAGTGGAAGCTTGAGCGACTTTAGGTTGGGATGATGGTCGGACATTGATGTAACATTCGTCGGTGGTGGGTTTTCCAAAACCGTTGGCATAACGAAATTTGTAACAGCACCAGGACCACGGAGTTTAATGGCAGCATTATCATATACCCTGGCAGCCTCCTCTGGTGTATCATATGTCCCCAACCATAACCGCTGGCGTGTAGCCGAATCCATAATCTTTGCTGACCACCTACCCCAACGTCTTTTCTGTACTCCTCAGAACTTCCTAAAGTTACCCTCTGGACTTTTCTTCTTCTTCATAGCTTTCTGTTTCGATTCTACAACAGATGGGTTGTTTCTGGTTGTCGTCATCTTCTCATTGAGAGGCATCATTGTAGTTTTGCACGACGGTTGTATGTTAATTTCATTAACATACTTTTTCATACGCCACCGTCCAAAATGGTCGTCATCTTCATCTCCTGAAGAATCAGTTGCATAGGGATCGGTCATTGATATTCTTATAAGTTTTGGGAATGGTAACTCTTCTTGGTCAGAAAACTTCTCTGACATTGCCGGAACCTCCATTGTTATACTCCTTTTGTGCTCCGTTTGTTTGATCGGAGGTAACATGAAGTAGTTCTCCATGAATATCTATTTTGCGATGAAAAAGAAACAAAGAAGTTTAAGAGTCGAAAATGGGTGAGAGGAAGATTTTATTTTCTGAATTACTGGATTTGAAAAAAGTATAAATTTATTTAAAACTTTGGGAGGTCATTTCAACCGTCAGTTTTAAAAATATCTTTATATATTTAATACTATATGTCCTTTACAGTTTCCAATAAATTTCTACACTACACCCGAGTCTCCTTTTTTTGTGCCTATTTGCAGATTAAAATTAGATGAAACAATATTAGGGCTTAAAGGAAGAATAAGATGAATGAATGGTCTCTTCAGAGAAGAAAACAAGTAGTGGTTTGTGAGGGATATTGCCTGGTTTGATGCAATCACTCTGTTTTTTATGATTAAGAATAGAAGGGTGATTGCATCGGACCAGGCTTCATTCCTTTCAAATTCTTTTGTAAAAATTAGATAGCTACCAAGGTATTACCGGAGGAGTTACTATGAGTAGATACAATGTTTAATGTGTATATGACATTCATATCTTTGACT